AAGCTATACAGGACTCAAGACTGGGATTGGTTAGTTTTACTCTTCAGCTAAGTTTAAAAGGAGCCTTCTCAGAGGCAGAGACAGAAGATCCCAGGTCCACCATAAAGGATCTCTAGTGAGATCCCTATCTAGAGAAACAGCTACTTCAGAGGAGACAGCACAGGCAATGGCATGGAGAGACAGAGCAGCTTTGGGCTCTAGGCCTATGGTCTGATTAAAAGTTAGTGAGACTGGCTTGAAGAATGTGTCCTTTAGTCATTCAGTCTGGCTAAAAGAACTTTATAACATGTGCTAGAGCAAGCTTGTTATTGTTGTTGTTAGGTGCCATTGAGTTGGTACTGACTCATAGCAACCCTATGCACAACAGAACGAAACCCTGCCCGATCCTGGGCCAACCTCACAATTGTTGCCACACTTCAGACTATTGATGCTGCCACTTTCCTAATCCATCTTACTGGGGGGTCTTCCTCTTTTTCTGACCCTCTGCCTTACCAAACATGATATCCTTCTCTAGTGACTGGTCCCTCCTGACAATATGTCCAAAATATGAGAGACAAAGTTTGGCCATCCTGGACTCCAAGGAGCACTCTGGCTGCACTTCTTCCAAAACGGATCTATTGGTTCTTTTGGCAGCCCATGGCACTTTCAATATTCTCCTCCAACACCACAACTCAAAAGCATCAATTCTTCTACGGTCTTCCTTATTCACTGTCCAGCTTTCGCATGCATATGAGGTTATTGAAAATATCATGGCTTGGGTCAGGCGCACCTTAGTCCTCAAGCTGACATCTTAGCTCTTCAACATTTTAAAAAGGTCTAGTGCAGCAAGGTCTAATGCAATACTTTGTTTGATCTCTTGACTGCTGCTTCCATGTGTGTTGATAGTTGATCTAAGAAGCATGAAATCCTCGACAACTTCAATCTTTTCTCCGTTGATAGGAATGTCATTTATTGGTCCAGTGGTGAGGATTTTTGTTTTCTTTACATTGAGATGCAATCCATACCAAAGGCTGTGTTCTTTGATCTTCACCAGTAAGTATTTTAAGTTCTCTTCACTCTCAGCAAGCAAGGTTGTATCATCTGCATATTGCAGGTAGTTAATGAGTTTTAGTCCAATCCTGATGCCATATTTTTCTTCATATAAGCCAGCTTCTCAGATTATTTGCTCACGTACAGGTTGAATAAGTATGGTGAAAGACTACAACCCTGTTGCACACCTTTCTTAATTTTAAGCCATTCAGTGTTCCCATGTTCTGTTCAAACAGCTGCCTCTTGGTCCATGTACAGGTTCCTCATGAGCACAATTAAATGTTCAGGAATACTCATACTTCATAATGTTGTCCATAGCTTGTCATGATCCACACAATCGAAAGCCTTTGCTCAGTAAATAAAGCACAGATAAACATTTTTTCTGGTGTTCTCTGCTTTCAGGTAAGATCTATCGGACATCATCAATGATATCCCTCGTTCCTCATCCTCATCTGAATCCAGCTTGAACCTCTGGAAGTTCTGTGTCAATGTATGCTTACAGCTATTTCTGTATTACCTTTAGTAAAACTTTATTTACATGGGATATCAAAGATATTGTCTGATGATCTCATTCCATTGGTTCACCTCTCTTTGGAATGGGCACAAATACGGATCTCTTCCAATCTAGTTGTCTTCCAAATTTCTTGGCAGAGATGAGTGAATGCCTCCTGTGCCGCCTCACTTTCTTGAAAGATTTCAATTTTCATTCCATCAATTCCTGGTGCCTTGTTCTTTGCCAATTCCTTCAATGCACCTTGGACTTCTTTCTTCAGTATGATTGGCTCTTGGTCAGATGCCAGGGTAGAGGCTGAGAACAAGAGTGAGGTGTGCCTGCCTATGGGAGGCAAGAGGTGTTCCTGACTGTAGAACTGCTGTGTCCTGAGTTGGTTTTGATCCTGAATTATACCCTGTTTACTTCCCTAATAAACCTTATAATCATGAATATATATATATTTATGTTTTATTGTGAATTATGTGATAGTTTACATGGGACAACATTAGCTTTACATTCATCCTATCTTATATAATTTCATTGCCATGGTTACAATCCCCTCCATGCATC